CCCGGCTGGAGTGGACCTCGCATAGCTCTTATCAATACCCCAGTGACATTCTGCACTGTCACGGTTCGACTCCCGCTACGGGTTTGGATAAGACCAGTTGATACGAGGTCGAAACTGCAGTCCACTTCAGCCGGGATGAGAACAACTCTTGGTAGAGCAAGACTATGTGAAATTCAACGGAAACAGCAGCTCTACTCATATCATTGTGGGAAAATTCTACTACCAGTCCTTCCTCACCTCAAACGAAATAAGATGAATACATCTCATATTACATTTGTTTCTATTGGGGCATTAATGCTGGTGCAGTTCTTAAGAAATATCTCTCGGATTCCGGTTTAAACGTGCTAAATCTTCTTTCGTCATGCTATTTGGCAGAAAGGATGAGGGCATGAACATATTCGAACATATTCATCCCTAATTGCTATGTGTATTCACACAAAAAACACATTTTTGCAGGTATATGATAAAGCAATAAGCTGTTTTTTATATTGGCCCATGTGTGCGCACATTAATTTACGTACACAAGAAGTGAAAATCAGTCTATGTGATTCATCAAAGACCAATCAATCTCAGATCAAAACTTCATGGAAATTAAAGACTCACCATTCGCAACTCCAGTCGTGTGACCGCCTCCTCCAGTTGCAGTCGGCCTCGGCTTTGCCAAAATGGCAGTGCATAAATAGTGTCCTTCCATTTGGCTCCAGCACGTCGGGATGCGAATAATATCGCTTGTGACAGTCGATCCACATGATCGGCTGAGATGTTGGAAAGATCGTTATCTGACACGTCTAAACAAACGGAAATAGGGGTACACTGAGTTGTGAACACAAAGAAATCTTTCATAATCCCAAAAAAGTAACTTTCTTCTTGACATTCAGTGATTTTACTTCTGGACCATATAAAAACTTGGACTGTCGCATCGCATAACACTGTGTATCGAAGCCGAATTTCCCCACAAAAACCCAATTCAACTCGGCGCTGCAGTCTCTAGTCGATTAGGCAGCCTTTTACGAGACAAGTTGATAACAAATTAAATGGCTCGTTTTTCGTGAAAATCTAACTATAAACAATACAATATTTTCTTCGACAGAAGATAAGTAACGAAGTTGTTTGACCTCGTTCTCGCAACTTGGACTTATTGCCAATCACACTAAGGTGGATTGACAAATGTCGGTTTTGTTTGCACATTCGGAGTTCATACACTCAAAACTACTCTCCTTCGGATACATTTTGAAAATAATTTCAGACCCACAGGTCATTGTCGCATATATATCTCTTTGGTTCCACATAGACTCCTTCAAGTTGAAAGCAAATTCTATAATTTC